TAACATTATTTTGCGTATTTGGTGTAATGAAATGTGTTTATGCGGTTTAAGGTTCAAAAAACACATTATTTTCCACACACTGTACATTATTGTTTCTCCTCTATCCCCCGCCTTTCTGAAATGCGTCGATTTTAGGTAGGTGTGGCTGACTCTTAACTTTTATAAAGAATATCTCTTTGGATTTGAGACTTTAGTCTTTGCAACTTTACAGATCTTCTTTATTCGCTTGGAGCTTGTAACACTCCAAAGAGAAAGGAAAAATTGAAATCGCATCATATGACCCCTTTAATATATACATTTACCACAGCATATAAGAATTTTCACAAGTGGTCTCAGATTTTTCACCATACTGTATTTTGAAGGACTCTATAAAAGCAGACTGGAAAACCAAGAAAAGCACACTAACATTTAATCAGGATTTCCCTGGCCAGATCAGCAGAGGTGGCCGTTCCTCCTTTGAGCTGCAGGAAGCACCAGGACAGCAGGCTGCCCTGTAAAGCCCAGAACAGAGACAGCAGGACCCTCCAAATGGACCCTCCTCTGGAATCCAACATCAACACCTCACACTGAAGAAAGGGAGAGGGGCATTTTACATGGATCAACATCACATTACTCTTTATAAAGCTAGACAAGAGAAAACTATTAGGGTGTTGTCATGCAATGCATTACAATATGAGGTGTCAGCTAACACATGTTAATGCACAATGTAAACATCTAAAGTATGTGTCAGCTATTTGCAGGAGCTTATATATGTGAGCAGGAGTGGCCAGATGAGGTTGGCTGTCAGCATAGGGCAGATATACCTCTCTAGTGGCCACAATGAGCAGCGTGTCCATGACGGTCAGGACAGGTGAGATGTCAAAGTCAGATGGGGCTCCTTTAGAGGGCAGCAAGAGGAGACCTTTCGGGTCCTGATCGCTGCAAACAGAGATTAGCGCGAGACGACGTGTGAGAGCAGGAAGTATGCTATACATTTTAACAGGACAAAAAAAAAGTTTAAAGGGAGGAGTCTGATACCTGAAGTAACTGCAGAGAGACTCAAATGTCAGTTTAACAGACTCTGGCTGATTTTCTTCAGTTATGTTTTTCTGAGAAAAGCAGCAACAACAACAAAAAAAAAAATCTCATACAATAGCAATTCAATAACAATATTCAGCCAAGGCAAGTACACCCTCATAGTCTTACTTACCATCATGTGAAAGAGTTTGTCCCTCCGGCTCTGTTTGTCAGGGAAGAAAATGGCAGCTCCACTGAGGATGGCTTTCACAGCTTCTTTTCTCAGAGCTTTCTCCACTGCAGTCTGTCCTTCAGGACCGTCCACCACTGCGCAGCACAAAAACTGTGGGTTATTCTCTCAAGCACCAAGCAAGACACAATGGCATTATTATATTGCTTTTAACCAATTTAACTGTGTGTTTTTAGCCATCAATTTTAACCGATATTTTTTGGAAACTACAAATTACACTACTATTCAGTTTGTGGTTAGTATGTTGTTTTTTATTTAGAGAAGACAAATTAAACTGATTAAGTGACATTAAGAAATGTATAATGTAACAAAAGATTTATACTTCAAATAAATTCTGTTCTTTTTAAGTTTCTTGAGCTTTGTCACAGGAATAAATTCTATTTAGAAATATATTAAAATAGAATAAAAACTGTTATTTTAAATTGTAGTAATATTTCACAATATTACAGCTTTTACTGTATTTTTGATTAAATAAATACAACCTTGGTGAACATATGAGACTTCTCTGAAAAACATTTAAAAAATACAGACTCCAAACTTTTGATCAGTAATGTTTGCTACAATGGAAGCACATTGAGAGCAGCTACAAACTTCTACTTCAGCTTAAACGCTGTTCCAACAGATCATTATTTATGTTTCATGTTCTGTACTTCCCTGCTTGTTCTCACAGCTGGTTTCCAGCAGTTCTCCACAAACACAAATCAAACTGTACATGCTATAGAGCAGCAAGGCATTACAAACAAACCACTGAAGTGTGTCTCGATTTGCCAGTCATGCCGTTGAGTCATACAGAGCAGTATGTGAGTCTTACCTTGACACAAGTGACTGTAGAGCTCTCCGACAGCTTCTGCAGGATCCACGTCTGTGCTGGCTGAGGGTGCTGCTGAAGCTGAAGCTGAGGCTGTGATGTCTGACGACTGGGACTCTGTCAGGCTGGACAGCATTGGGAAGCAGTTCTGGAGCAGCTGAAGCAGGAGAACTCTTGTCTTTATGGCCTCCTCTCCCTCACTGAAAATGTATGCACACACATACGTGGCATTGGAAAATATCATTTTTAAACACATTTTACCTGCCTTAGTTAATAAGAAATGTTTCACTAAATCATAATATTAGAATGGTTTCTGAAGGATCATGTGACAATGAAGACTGGAGTAATGGCTGCTGAAATAAATTACATTTTGAAGAATATTAAAAATAGAATACAATTATTTTAAATTGTAATAATATTTCACGTTACTGTGTTCCTGTACTTATGATCAAATAAATGCAGCCTTGGAGAGACTTCTTTTGACCCCAAACTTTTAAAAAGTAGTGTTATTACATGGACAAGGCCACAATACGCTAATGTCAAAGTCTAAACTTTGTGGCTAGTCTTTATTTTAAAAATTCTTCTTTACTGTCTATTTTTAAACACCTTTGCCTTAATTAGTTCAATTCAAATGATCCTTTAAATGGACAAAAAGTACAAATAATACATGTAATCTCTAAATTATTATTTCTAAAATACTTTTTTTTTAATCTTTTGTTTTACATAAAGTATAGCATGTCACACCATAGAACTTTGCCATCATGGCTTAAAATTTCATGTCAAGTGGACTTCAGAAAAAATCATAATCTACAGGAAGCATGAACATCTGACCATCTGTAGAGAGAGTCACATGATCAGTGAACTTATCAGATTAGTGGCCTAGAAATAGAAAGTCTTTATGGCATAATGTAAAATGAACCACTGATTTTTAACACATACTCTCTGTAACACCACCGTATGAGCAGTAAAAATTACATCCTATTTATAAACCATTTCAAATAAAATCCATGCACATATTAATATAAACATAAGTTCTCATTACAGCTTTACTCACATAGATCTGAGTTTGCGGTAGAAGTCCCAGAACAGCAGCATGCTGAGGTCACTGAAGTCCAGCAGGGACTTCTGCTTGGACAGAGACACATCCTGTAACATATGCTCAGGGTTTATACAGCTCTCTTTAGAGAGGCGTGCAAAGTTCACTGAAAAAATGCATTACGAATTTCAGAGTTGTATCTTAATAAATTAGGTCAGTCGCAAGAGGACATGGGTGTACCATATCTCTGGTGAGCTGCTGGATGAAATAAAGGGTTTTCTTCATGAGTGCGAGACCCGTAACCAGGCCTGAAATGCTCCCCTCGGCCTGAGCGCTCAGATCATCCACATCCTCCAGCCGCTCGGAGTGTGGACACAAATAACCACTGAAACTCATCTGCTGAACCCCCAACCGCTCTGCTGTGTCCTGCATAGCACACAGGAACTTCACCATCAGAAACTACACACAGAAAGACAAAAAGAATAGCTGTTAATCAAGTGTTACAATTGTTTTAAATGATTTTTCAGAATTCATAATATTTAATTAAAATGACAAAAAATGACAGACTTGCGCATGAAATGTTCAACTGCAAGTTGACATTAAGATCTGTCTCCACTGAATCAACAACTGATGGATTAAACCAAGTCTCCGCCCTACATTTAGTTTTCGATAGTCAATTTCACTCAGATCTTCATCATAATACAGAAGAAATGATCTGTCACTACTTTCATTTCATTGCGCTTTATAATAATTATTGTTAACTGTTAATTATTGTTATTTTAACTGTAATAATGTCATTTTAACTGTAATAAAGACATTCAGTCTGAGAAGGGAGAACTTTAGTAGGTGGACAAACTCCCAGAGTTAATAACATACAGTTTTTGATTTTCGATTGATGTCAGGAGCAAACGTTCAAAGAAAGAAAGAATCCATACTTTTGACACTCTGCATTGTTGCAGCTTGATCTCCACGTCATTCCAGTCCTCTTCCACCGCAAACCAGCCAATGGGCTCGTCCTCACTGGTCTCTTCTATCCTTGTGCTGGAGTGTGTGTGTTTGTTTGTGAATGTAATACACGTGACAGTGTGTGAGGTACAGAGGCAGAAAACAGCGAGGGGTCAATTGACTCACAGAAACATTCTCACTGAATTTACAGCCATCTTAGCCGTGTGCACATGTGCACAGACCAAAATACACTCTCACATGCACTGGGCAAGACAATGCATTCCCACAAGCTGCTCACTCTCTCACACACTCCTAAACAAGCAGCATTTAAAGTTCATGTGATCAATATTGGGTGTCTTTTATGAGCAACAATGTTACATTAACAAATCAACAACAAATCACTGTGACATACCTGTCTTGGACAAATTCTTTATAGTCTTTGTAGTCCCAGCTGTCATACTTTTTGAATCTTTTGAAGTGTTTATCTGCATCAAATGCCTCGCTGTCATTGTAGGCAAACACCAAGCCACATTTAGCACCAATAGCTCCTTTACGCACCTGAAGCGTAGGAACACAGCAGTGCTTTAAAACTAGGATATGTAGATCAAATCAGTTTGAATGTTTCCAAATGAACATTTATTTGACTCCCGTACTGACAGAACACACTCTAATTTCTTGTTTAAGAAGTACAAAGCACAATTCTCAAGTCTTTACTAAAGTGTTTCTCTTACTTTTATCTTGATCTGTGTGACCTGGAAGCAGCTCTGGTTTTCAGTAGACAGAATCACACTGGCTTTCCTCTTTCCATTCTCTGTCAGAAAACCTGCAGGTACAAATAAAGCATTAAGAGGGTCCACTTTGCATTAGTTTCTTTCTAAGCAATACAGATGACCGCTCAACCATACAGCCTTTCTCCACAGAGAAAGCTATTCTTTTAAAGCACACAGCTGTTTTAAAAGACATCACTATTCACATCAGCACTTTGGTGATTTATCTGTGAAGCACTCTATCAAAATACCCATCTCTACACCAAATAAAACCAAGACCGTACCATCTCCAGTGTTGGGCTCCGTCAGCATGTTTTCTGGGCCAGACTTCTCCTCTTTACTCTTCGCATCACATGCTTGCAGATGGAGCTGGATGGGTTTACCTAATTTACATGAACAGTGATAAACGAAAAGAAACGTCTATATCAGTGTTATTACTGTTAACTTTTTTCATTTGATTAAAATGTATTCGTTATTAAATTTGAAAAAATCCTTTGGGACCACTGTGCATTACCATTACGGTAGAGTAGTCTTAACCGGACAGACGCCATAGAGGCCAGCAGTGAGGAAGCTCTGTACTCTGAGTCCAGATGCTCACAGATACCAGACAAAGAGATGAGGACTTTAGCCACACTGCCTCGAGCCAGAGCAAACGCTAACAGAGTCAGCTCAGCGTCAGGAGACACACAGCAGCTAGGACATTTGAAAGCAAAGCACTTCTGTTAAGCTTTCTCAGCAGAGTGTCCAATTACGTTCAGATGAAACAGCTGTAATTATTCACTGATAGAATACAGTTTTCCATTATTATCAGGCTAACTCGTATTGTGTAATTAAAACCGAAAGGGGTTTGCCACTATTGCCCTCCATGTCAGTATTGTTTTGACCTATTAATAACAGATTTAAACGTGCTGAGTTGAGCTGAGCTTGTGCTAGCAGAGCTTGATTCTTACTCTGCTATGCGCAGTAAAAAGCCGTCCACCTCTTCCAGAATGTTTGCAGAGAGGAATCTGGGGAACTCCATTGAAGACGGCGTTAAGGACAGGGGCGGCATGTGCTGTAAGGCTTTCCTAGAAAACAAAAAGCATACAAAAAACACAGTAAAATAAACTGCTCTGATCAAATGAAATGTTAAACGATGAACAAAAAGTTCAAAAGAAGAACATTTGTTTGAAAGAGAAATCTTTTGTAACATTATAAAAATCTTTACTGTCACTTTTGATCAATTTAATGCATCACTGGTAAATAAAAGTACCAATTTATTTACTATATATATATATATATATATATATATATATATAACCTAACAGACCTATTTTTGTATGGAGTGCTTGACTGCCACTCAGTTTGACATTTTGTTAATTTGCACAAAGACAAAATTCACACATACTTTTGGGGCTGCTTTATGTTTGGCATGCATGTGTATGAGATGATTTGACAAAACAGCTCTAACGTGTTTAGATTAAATGCTTTTTTATTATTATTTGCTATCTTTGAATTTTTTTAATGGTAGTGTACATGTCTCATCAAATTAAATTCAAATTTTCAAATCAAAATGCAATAGGCAAAATAGAGAACAAAACATACAGCTCCCATCCAGGACACTACATAAATCAAATACAGTGGTATTACTGCCATGCTTTTGTGAGAAGCAATATTCATTAGTCAATTTCTCCTGACTTACTGTGTGCTCTGTAGGACGGCCTGCGCAAGCACAGGGTTGGTTTCCATGGAAGCGGTGACCAGAGACGTGAGGAGCGACAGATACCATATAGCTGAGGCATCGGATACTGAAACTTCTTTACTCTTGGTAATCTGGTAGCCCATTGTCTTCAGACCATGAATACGTGTGTCACAGCCATCGCTAAGGCATCGTTTAATGTTTATTTGAATATCTGAGAGACAAAAATAAGATCAGCATAAGGGCTTTTTGACTCCTAACATTCATGTTGATAGGACTAGAGTAGTATATACGTGGAATAAACAGAAATCACAGTCTCACTTTATATTACACTTACAGCATGCAACTTCTGTGTACATATATACTATCGTTCAAAAGTTTCAAATAAATAAAGTTCAAATAAATGTGGTTCCCTTTCAAGAATCTTGAAAAAAATATATTACAATTTCCACAAAAATATTAAGCAGAACAACATATTTCAACACTGATAATAAGAAATGTTTGTTGAGCAGCAAATCTGCAAATTAGTATGATTTCTGAAGGATCATGTGACTCATGATCAGCTTTGCCCTCACAGGAATAAATTACATTATAAAATATATTAAAACAGAAAACAATTATTTTAAATTGTAGTAATATTTCACAACATTACCGGTTTTACTGTATTTCTGATATCAAATAAATGCAGCCATGGTGACCATAAGAGACTTCTTTCAAAAACCCCAAACTTTTGAATAGTAGTGTACAAATTCAAACTTCAAACAGAAGATTCTGTTATACAAGTGTATGCTCACAAGGATGGCTGATGTTGCCGTTATCCAGTAGCGGTACATAACCCGTGACATTACTGGGGATCCTCACATCTCTGATCTCCTGCAGGGAGCGCCGGTTCTTTCCTACAGCTATAGACACCAGCTGCGGCATGTAGCTGTGGTCATTAGAAGCTACCGCAATGGCCAGGCGTCTCAAAACTATGTCTGGCTTCAGCTTTAACCTGTGAAAGTGATGGGGGTAATATTTAACTAGTTATTTAGTGAAGGTAATAAAATGTGTTACATCAGCTCTATTTTAATTCTATGAAAATGCACAAATGAAATGGGCAGCTTGCCTTATCCAGTGTGAGCGAGCGCTACCGTCCGACTGCCAGAAAGACACGGTCTCACCATTGGTCATCTTGTTGATATCTGCACTATTGGACGAAGCCTCGATGAAGCTGTAGCACTGGGTGACCACCTTCACTTTATCCACATCTGGGTCATGATTGAGCTCAGCTCTGTACTGGATGTCTAGATCTGAGAGGATAGTCAGTAGAATATGCAAAGGTGATGGAGAAAAATTTTCTCATATTTCTATATAGTTCTACATATAAGAGGTCACTGTACTATAAAAAACATCCTGTAAGTTTCAGAACTCAAAAGTTTGTCGTTTATCCAAACACAGCTTATATTGAAGCCAGTCTGCCAAAACAACAGCTTGTAGAATGTGCCACTCTATGGTGTAATAGTGTGGCTAAACACCATCTTCGCAGAAGAATATCAACGCCTGCTTCTACATCACTGCCTGCTTAGCCCCGCCCACCGATTTTGCACATATAGTAGGTAAATAACGAAAGGGGCAAATGCACATCTACGCAGAAACCAAACTATAAAGATGCTCTGAATACAACAAGACGCTGTGCAGTGCCAAATTGTGGAAAAACACCGTATTTGCATTGCCTTCTTTCTGATCCCAATGTTAGGAAAGAGTGGATGAACTTTATTTTTAATGAAGATCCAGACCACGTCAGTAAGAACTCGGTCCTTTGTTCACTTCATTTTACAGCCGATTCATTTACAAACAAGGCACACTTTGACGCAGAATTTTCAGATAGATTGAAATTAAAAGACGATGCTGTGCCGACTATATTGGATCCGACAGTAATGGCGCAACACACAGGTGTGAGTAACTGCTTTTATTACTACTGCTTTGTCTGTTATAACAGTTTGCTTGATATGTACGGAGTATTTACAGTTTTTAACCTAAATCACAGCAGCGTCCACAGGAACCAGGGTGATTCTCACTTCTGGGTTGGCTTACAAAAATATATCATCCCTGCAGCACTATATAATAATTGTTATTACCACTCTGCCCAATAACCACCATTCACCTTTCTCCTTCTGTAGCAGGTAATCCAGGAAGTCCTGCACTACAGATGACCTCATGGTGCAGATGCTGTTGTAGCCTTCCAGCACAGGGAATGGGATTGCGCTGCTGGGGATGCGATTCCGGTGCAAGAATTTCAGGATTTTGGAAGCATGTGCTTTGAGACGGTCCTTGGACTTGGAGAAGATATCCACAAACCCTGGATGAGCATGAAGGGTAAAAGAGGACAACAACTGGGTCAAACAACGAGAATCATTTGCATAGTTACCTGGCATGGTCAACTTCAAACATCTGAGCTTGTGTCGCCATTGCATTCAAATAAACAAGAACGTTCACGTCTGCTTCCCCACCTGGAGTCAAAGAGCATGCCTGAAGCTGCCTGATCACATGACTGAGTTCTCCCTGCAGGTTGGCTCCATTGGAGTTTTTCAGTGCCATGAGCATGCTCTCCACATCAACAATCCCATCACCCTCAGCATCAAACTGACCATAGGCCTAAAGAGCACAAATGGAAGAGATTTTTTTTTTCTGTCTGTACGTTCTGTGACACAAATATTAGGCTGAGGTATCGCACAAAAGAGAAGGCAAACAGAAAACATAAGGAGGACAAGAACAACTAGTCTCTCTAGATCTCTCAAACCAGTTGTCCATTTCACCTACATAAACACACTCGAGTCAGCATGTGAATCATTTGTAAGGCAAATGAAAGTGAGTCATGTTTACATCAGTATAGCCACCTCCAGAAAGCACCACACTAACAAAATGCACCAGTGCAACAATGATTTTAGATATGTCTGAAAATACCATGTAAATAACAGTACATTAATTAAGAAATCATTTAGCACCAAGATATATGTATAAAAGTACCACACTAAAAGCAATGGATACGTGACTGAACTATTTTACTTTTGTAAGGAAGTAAAACTTGGCTCGTCACCGCACACTGAGCCAATCCCAGAAAAATAACACATTTATGCTCCAATATCAATTGCTCTGGATAGGATTTAAATGTAATCAGGGTTGGGGGAAGTGGGGACATTGTCCCGGGTCCTGTGATTATGGATGCCCACTAAAGTTCTCTACAGTTTGTATATAGCTTTAACAAAAATTAAATCTGTCAGTCACAAATCTAACTTTAAAAAAAAGATTTATACAGCTGAGTTTTTACTGCCAATTTGTATATGTAAAATAAACAGAAAAACATTTAGTTTGCTTATAAAAATTGGAAGTCAATAGTCAAAAGTTCAACTGTAGAAATCTGTGTCAAAAGGTAATTTGTTATTGGCAAATTTAATTTTGTTAAAGCATTTCTTATAGCCTAACCTTTTTATTTACAAGAAGTACAGCACAGCTAGACCTATTCTATACTGGCACTAGATGAGTCTGACTATTCGGCGGTCAATAATAGTCAGTGTAATCAATCAAACCCTATATCTACCAATCAAAAAGAAAGACAAAGCAAATCTAATACGACCGTCCTATGATGTGCTGAAATGCAGTCAAGATTGAAAGTGAACTAGGTGGGGACAGCCAATAAACAGCCTTTATCAAAGGTGTGATACAAAGATAGAGATTACACAATGTAACCACTCAGAGTATAGAGCAAGCTAAGTGGTCAATTACACAACTTTGAGTTGTTTGTCAGCTAAATACTGCTTATTTACTAATAAGTCATTTAGGTGACAGGGACGTTTTGCTGAAGTGCACTATAGTGAGTGTTCATGAACCACCCTTCTTTGGTCTTGAACATGCAAACTCTCTGTTATCAGCCAAGGCCTGGCTTGAACCACTGTGCTACAGCAGGTCATTGCTCATCTGAGTGACATGTCTGATCACCTCCTCGCACTCATCTCTGGGCGCGTCTCTGCTCTCCAGCATCTCACAGAACTGCTCCAGAGTGACGGACTCCTCTCCGCGGCTCAGCCGCTCCTCCAGCCAGCGGACCAGAGCGCTCTCGTTGCGCGCCAGCACCGACTCCGAAATGGCGACCCATGAGTCGCTCATACGGGCCGCTGCCTCTCGCAGCTTCACCTGCTCCAGCAGAGCTTCAGGAGTGGGGAGTCCATAGCTCGGGGCCGGCGGGTTCGCCGAACCTCTTCCGCTTCTCCCCGGACTG